TCCCTTCCCTTTCAGAGGTGGCAGCTTTCGGTGTCGCAGATGCGAACCCTCACCCTCATCGTTCTTGGAGTAAACGCCTCTAAAAGAAATGCTTCGCGTCAAATTGACCAGAGCACTCGGCGCCTGCAATTATCGTCAAACGTTGCTTTTACTCAGCTGAGGGTTTCGCATCTGCGACGCCGAAAGCTGCCACCCCCCAAGGGGTAGGGGGGTAGTCCCCCAAGCACGGGGACTTGGTAATAAACCCGACCTTACCCCCTCCACCACCAGATGCCACCATCTACATCCATCCGCGTCTCCCTTCCGTCTCGGGCCACATAGTGCCACGTCGCCGTCGGGTCCCCCGCCCCCGCTGCCGCGTCGAGTCGCTCTCTATAGATTTCACGGCAGAAGCCGCGTTGCCCTCGGGTGGTGGATTCCGTGCCGAGAACCACCTTCAGTCAGAAGTTCTTAAGCTGACTTTCCGATTGATCACACCTTTCACACTCGATTCGGAAGCATCGTCTTTTTTCGCGAACTAGAATATTTGTAAATATAGATACTTGATGCCGCAACGTCACATCGGATACACTGCGCCGACGTTTCCCAGATATCAATGGGGAAACTCCCCGCCCGAGTATGACGGCTAATTCAACATATTAGTCTAACCACCTCCTGCGAGCTTTAAAGGTTATAAAAGAGTAAATTTGAAATAGCTTACATAGTACTCACTTTTTACTCCCTAAATGCTCGGAATTTTCTAAGAGTGTAGGTGGAGAATTGACTGACATCTATATTGCGACCCTGTCAATGAATGGGATTCGAGCAGAGTGTTGCTTCGGAATAGCTCTTTATGCCTGAGAGTCCCTCCAGCCTTGCCCACACTCAAGGGAAATTGACCTCCCCCCCCCCCAAGAGTGGGTGTCCAGGGATGTCATTACGTCTAGAATCACCTGACCCTTGTCTTGAAATAGTCGTGCCTTGGCCGTCCGTTCGTTCCGCATTCGTCGAAGTCTACCAGCTTATCGACCTGTACAGGTTGATTCTGGCAAAAGATAAGAGGCTTCACATATCCCGACGGCATTACTTATCTCGCAATTGGTGTTTAACCGAATATAAAAATATTCGGAAGTCAGGGGACATGGACTCCTCATTGATATAAGTGGAAGGCTAGCGCAGGGTATCCCATATGACACTGCGCTTCCAAGATTTAATGATCCATTGAAAACCAACTAAGTAATATGTCGCGAGAATTCCGTATCGAATGCGGGAATTGATGAGCGATCGGGAACTCGGCTTATGGACTAAGGAGGAGAAGCGGTTCTCGGCGCGTCATTCGTCCCCGATTGTAACGCAGTTCCGGGTCCCCAATCCCGAGGAAGCGACTGGAGGCGGCGGCGGTGACGGAGGAATTCGAGGGCGACGTGACTCCGTGTGGCCAAAGGGAGAAGGTAGGTGCGAGAGGATGCGGCGGTAGCCCTGACATCTAGTGGAGAAGGTTTTAGGTCGGGTTTCATCATCTTGTCCTGTGCTTTTCCCTTTAGCGTTGAGTTATCGCTTGGACATGCAACAGAGTTGTACAAGCCGAATCGCAAAGCACCAGAGAGAAATACAAGCTATCTGGTTGATGGATCTGAGTCAATTTGGCTGTACGTCCAATTAGGTACTGACTAAAACTGAAGTAGTGAAGTGTATTTGCTAGGAAACGATGAGATACAAGAGCGCGTGCTTTCAAGAGCTGCCTAAGAACGAGTACATACTGATTGTACTCGATACCACGGGCGCTAAGGACAAAAATGCCTGGCGTGATTTCGACAGATGCGACAGCAATCACACGAACTGCTCTTCAATCGCCCATGGAATTCGTTTTCATAATTTTTTTTCCAGGTTTCAGTCTAAGTGTCACGGATCAATTGGCATACAGGCAGAAACTGACAGTATGATGAGATTAATTGAATCCCCCGCTCGATCCCGACGGCATGACTGAAACCATAGGCCGATGATCCGTGATCCGTCTGAGCCAAATGTGGGACATTTCTTCGGTGCGTGCTGATCGCGGGCACGGATTGTCCAGGAGAAGCGAAGGGGAATGGTTACGTTTGTTGGAGAGGGGAGAAATTCCCAGATGGAGATTTTGCGTTTGGTTGTGGCCCTTTTGGGAATGAGTTTGCTTGGTCCTCCGAGTCGTCCGGAATATCGAGAGAACCAATTCCAAGGGCAAGTCAATCAGTCAAGCATGAAGGAGTTCACAACTTTCAATCATTTTCCCCCACCAGATGTTACTCTCGCTAGTCTTCTTCCGCTCTTAACATTACCCCCCCCACTGCTCTTTATAGTAACTTCAACTGCACCCAGTGCTGCTGCAATCTTATAGAAATGCTGAAGTAAATACGTTTTGGTGAGATACAGTTGATATATTTTTTTTACCCCCCCCCCCCCCCCCCCCCCCCCCCCCCCCCCCCCGATGCCACGCATTGGCACGTCCCCCGGTAGTCTCCCCTCCTCCACCTCCGCATGGAGTGACCCACTCCGGATTGGGCACCCGGAGCGGCATCGCCTTAAAGGAACCAAGGTCTAGCAGGGGGGGAGACTCGAGTTACTGAGACGAGTACACAAGTGAGCACGCCTTGCCTGCTCATTCTAAAGGTATCGCGCGGTTACCTGAAAATAAATTTCCATTGCTGTCGTGTCGTTGGAAGTACCACGTACCGACGAACTTCAAGTTCGAGGGTTTATTTCCTGTTCAGGTGAGTCAGCATACTCAAAAGAAATATTTTAACATGCCCTGCCTATTCCCTCATGCCATTGGGATGGGCCATCGATAGCGGCCTAACGAGGAGAAGGGGGTTAACTCCCCCAGGTTTGGTTCCAGCCCCCTAACTTTAGGTTTAATGTTTCCGTTACTCCTTCCCAAGTAGCACGTAGGTGGTGGGGCACTACCTACGATTGGGAAGAAAGCCAGTGCCCCACCACCTTTACTAGGTTGTGGGCCACCAGGTACATGTCCCACTTTCCAGCACTTGCCCGCCACCTTCTGGGCCGCTAGAGGACCAGCACATCAGCTAGCTCGTTTGTAATGCACCTCCAGTTGTGTTGGGATCTAATGCCCCCATGCATATCCGATTCACCTCTACATCTTGGAACTCTAACCAAGTCAGAAGAGTATCAATATGCCCCACTGCTCTCCTTTTCCGCATCCAATACGGAACCCTGGGATAGTGGGAAGGACTCCTCTTCGTGTAACGCGTAACGCGTAATGCGTAACAAGTACCAGATATTAATATGATAATAAGGAACAATAGCACTCAACCCGTTCCTAGTCCCATGCACTTCTATATTCCCATGCTTAACTTCAGCATTTAATATTTGTCCAAATTTTATATTTCAATCAAATATCATAATTCCTCTCTTTCCTCTCATCTGTTTATAAATTCCACAATAAGAAGAGGAAAGAAGGGGAAGAAACGCTTTGCTAAATCAGAAAGGCGGGTACTTCTTGCAATTGTAGGGTGCAGGGAGCAGGGGCACCATCTAGTGAAGACTCATGGTACAACATCTGGGGGAATACCAGCTACATTTTGGGAAGAGAGGTGGTGGCCCTCCACCTACAATGGTTAGCGGACCAGCAATTGCATATCCCACTTGCCGCCACGTTCCTGCCCCCAGCAGATATCCGCCAGTGTAGTGCCTGGGCCGCTTATGACCCACAACTTTTGTGCTACTTGGGTTGCCCCCCCCCCCACCCCCTCCCTCCCACCTCTGGCGAAACCTTGGCCACGCCACTCACCATGGAATTCATCTCGTCTTCCAGGAAGAGTAGCGGGATGCTTAGTTAGGAGGGGTCCTTCCTGACGAATTATCCTAAAAAATATGACCGAGTTCTTTCACTTACCCTTCTACGAGGGTAAGTGAAAGAAATCTTAATGTTCCGTTCGTTCTCGATTGACCCGAATGCGCTTGCATCACATCAAATTGTTAGCTTGCCTCCTTGCTCTGTATCGCGGGTTCATTTTGGGCATTATCTCCACTACTTGTTTTACTGTCCGCTTATGTAGGAATAAATGCCCGATTGAACGGGACGCGAAAGAGCTCGGTCTTCCCTGGCGAAGCAAAATGCCCCATGACATACGTGAGCGAGTTCGACACGATGAGATTCCAACTGCGGATGAGGAAGCGCGCCGGAGTCTCAATTTGTCCAACGGGAAATCGGTCGCCGTCAGCCAAAGTGGCATTGGGTGTTGCGCATCGAGAGATTCGTCGTGGAATTGCCATTGTGGCGTCTCCTATCGAGAGTGTCTCTCGTCACCACCCGTTCCACGTCCGTCTAGGCAGAAAAAAAAGTGAAATTTTCCTTTGAAAAAGCAAGGAGTAAAATGCATCTTAGCAGCGTCGTCCCCCCCCTTCCCTTTTCCTCCGTCCACGCAGGGGCACGTCATCCGGCAGTCCCTCATGCTCCACCTCAGGGCCACGTCGTCCCCGGGAGCCCGAGGTCGCGCCTCGGCTGGTTTAGACTTCAAGACTTTAGTTTTCCAATGGAGTCTGGACAGTATAATTTCCCCGCTCCCATTCGTCCAAATAAAGCAGTTGTATTTTTTTCAACGGCCAATTTGTTTCTCCGCGGAAGCACAGAAAAACAATTTTATCGGGGTCAACGAGTTGCTATGATCGCTATAGCTGCAGTCAGTGCCGAAACCCATCTAAATCTCATTTCTTCCCCCACCCCGAGACATTTGGTTCATTCCCAAAGCGAAGAGCAAGATGAAATGATACCAATTTGGCACCTGTATGGAGCTGAAACCAGCCGCAACGAAGGAACTTCGACTGATGTGAAAATGGCGTGCTGGACTCGTGATGCACTGATAACATCACGGGTAAAATGCACTCTACTCTGCTTTCCTCATACTTCAAAACGGAGCTAGGATATGTTACTTTTGATCGGAATGAACGAGAAGTAGATATACTTCCACATCAGAAATGCCCATCACCTTCCACTTCCGGCTTAAATAAATAAAATATACGGAAACAATTCCAACAATATACTTTCACAATTTTCGGCAATGTTGACTTCACGACCATTCATGAAACGTGGGATGCACAATGATTATGATTCATTGAATAAACGCGCACAAATTTCTGCGGGCCTAGTGAGTAGTGAGGGGCCCTTACACATTAGAGGTTGAATCAGGAATTCCCCGTCAGAGCCCAAATTCACCACCGAAGAGAGACGCACTTCAGAAGGAAGATACGGGAGGGAGATCGACCGCATTAGATCACTTCTGCACGACCACGACAGGATGTTGGTGCCTGCCCGACAGGTACTTCCTCAAGCCGAGGATGTACTGCCGGCATCCCTCCGCGTGGAACTTCAGCAGGAACTTGACTGGGAGGATCGGAACCTTGTAGTCCAGCGAGTACACCCAGCGCAGCAGGGTCCTAGTGTGGAGTTCCGGATCGGGAGAAAACGATATCCCGCTGCCTTCTTTCACCTCCGCCCTAATTCTCCCCAAAATCGCAGAAAAATGCATTACGCTTTTCCCCAGGAAGAATCGTCCTAGCGAATAGCACTGAGGTATGCAAATAAATAATTCAAGTTTAGTGTCTCTACCCTTGGGAGATGAGGTTTAGATGAGAATATTACTCATTCAACCTTCACTCTTCAGCATAAATGCTGAGGAGGAGAAAGAAGAGAGAAAGGAAAGAAGAGAAGAGAATCATTTTAAAATGATCAATTCTATTCAACAGTATCATTAAACATTTGATAATGATATTGCGCATTCAATTCCCTGAAATCTTTCCATCCACAAGAAATTCTCAGATGCTATTTCAGAGCAGAACTCATGCTTAAGGCATTCTCATTGCTTAAACATTTTATCACCAGTGTTTCAGTCTTGCAAGTTTGTGGTCAACATGCATTTTTCAAAACTCTTGTTTTAGTGTAAACATATAATTGGAAACCAAAAGATCTAAAATCAACACGAGACCTGCTTGCAGCAAATGTTAAAAGGAGATTATCAACATTTATGCTTGAAGAAGCAAACCATCTCCCTGCAGAGAAACTTGGATTTGATTGTAGGGAGTCAACGTGGAATTGCAAGATCTTGGAAAGATACTTTGAAACTCGAATAGACATGATGGCGTGAAACGGCAAGTATGATTCCATGGAGGATATATGTAAGATTTTCCAGGTATTACAAGTCTCCGACTACTACTAACTTCATTAATGAAGCGGCTTCAAGAGGAAGGCACAGAGAGCCTCTTGAACAAACCAGAAGGAAAAAAAATCTGAGCGACCCATGACCTTACCTGACAATCTTCTCCCTCGGCTCCACCCCCGGCCACGCAATGCTGCTCGAGGAAATGAACTGAGTGTCCCCGTCCTTGCGACTGTAATTGAGGACCACGAAGTCCCGACTGGCGACGAAACCCATGAGTTTCGGCTTCATCACTTGGTGTATCACTTTGCACGTCTCGCTCAGCCTCTGCCGATCGGAATGGAAATATTGATCGTCTCGTTCGATATTCTCCTCCAAGCATGCAGTTCTTACATGTGGAATCATACGTACCACTCATCATGTTGAAAGTGGTTTCCAAGTTAGTGAAATACCAGATGCACTGCCAGCAGTGCGAATCGCAATATCTTGTTGGAACCACTCTAAAAATAGTTCACCGGGATCCAAGAAAGCCATGAGAGCACTATTCCCAAGGAATAGTGCACTGACGATACGCAAGCAAGATATTTCACAACGAAAATACTCGTATGTAACTTGAGAACATGCCGTCACGAACATTTAGGCATTCAAAGCGTTGTGACCACTTTCAAAGAGTGCTGTGAGTGGTATGTTTGATACACACATAGAGCTCAATTAAATTTTGCAACGTTTCCCCGTTCGCCAGGCTCGGAGCCGGACGAAGACCCGATCGGGACGAACCTGAAGGACCTTGTACTCCTGGACGTTAGAATTCCAGTCGGCTGTGGCCTCTGATGTGTGGTCTCGCATATCTTGGATCACCCAGTCGCACTCGAAATCCAACGGGGCCTGCAAGGGGGACAGAAAACGTGGACGTGGAAAATGGATATTCTTCACTTTGGTAGCGAACTATTTTTAGTACTAATGGTTACTTCCACTTTCGCCCCAGTGGAATCTCGCCCCCACATTTCGAATGACAAGATGTGATTTAACATTTTACGTATATATATGCCGTATTTCCAGGCGTCACCAACGTGATGTCTGGACATACGTTCGCGCGTCATGTTGCGTCAGCGTTGAAACGTCTCGACCCTGGACACCCTCTGGACCGAATAACTACTTTAACCAGGTCGATTCAAGAATTCCAATTCTTCCCCAAAGTTGATCGTGTAACGTTTCAAAAATTCGCGGGACTCACTGCGGTGGCATCAAGGGGAGAAAAGCTAAACGGGCGGAAGAGTTTATTTTCTGCAGGGAATTTGCAGAGGTATTGGTTTGTTGAGCGAAGACAGAAATGAAAATTAATCTCCTCTCGATCGCCTCCGAAGGACTTCGCAAACCCACGAGAAGTCTCGACACGCTTAAAATGCAATTAATTATGACGAGTCGGAACTTCATCCCTGTCGATTCTTCGCCGTCTTACCAACCTCAACCGCGTCGAAATGGCCGAGATGCAACGATTCTCGCTGACGACGCGGGCGTGAGCTCTTATTTTCGAGCCGGAGGGAAAGAATTTTGAGAGACAAACCTGGACGAGGAGAAAATACGTGCTCGTGTCCTGATCGTAAGCAGACTTCACCGTGATCCTTTCCTCGCCGTAATCCCTGAGCGGAGTCCAGTCCCCCCTCTCCAGGTTGAAGCGGAACTTCGCCAGCGCCCTTTCCCCTTCGATCGCGCAGTTCTCCGCCTGGGGCTATCCGAATGGGCAGGAAAGATGCCTGCCTCACCGGCCTTATCGATTATGTCGACGCCGAGAGGGAGAGAGTTCGTGCCGGCTCGATGGACTGGTAGGGAGATCATCTTTTCCGAAGAGTTTGGCAAAGAGACTCAGCACTCGCTGCTAGAAGTACATCTCGTGGCTAATTACCTATCGCATTGACATTTTTGAGCGTTTGCAGATTTCGCAGCGCAAAAATCTCGGCGCGTGTTTTTAAGCGCCACCCGGTGAAAACTGGGAGTAACTGCCTCTTCGTAAGAAAACGAGCCGTATCTCTAAAGAAAGGATTTTCCCTGAAATCAGCAATCCGAGAGATCTACTTGTGTACCAAATGTCAGTATTCTACCGCATCTGGAAAGTACTTAAAATTAGCGTCAGTCACTCACTCCCTCACGATCGTCAATAAAAGGTATACACGCATACCTGCTGTAATGTCGACATTCCAGTGGATGGAGTATGCGCGACGAGGCTCAAAAGGGAAACGACTACGAGAGAAGCGCGTCTTCGAGGGAAGGAGGCAGAAGGTGGGAGGCAAGAGGTGGGAGGCAGGAGGAGGAGGATCGGGTGAAGGTCGATTTCACCTTGACGATGCCTCCTTCGTCATCGCGATGCAAAGTCGATGCGGAGTGCAGCGAATGCCCATTCCGCTCGTCCCGATGAAGAAATCGCCACTCGCCAAGGAGTGAATCTGCAAACTCCGCAGCGGAACGACTTCTAACGATGTTTCAGCGCCTTTTCGATGCACGAAGTCATGGCGAGCTGTGACGCTTCGCTCCATTTATTACGGCCCTTGGGCGAATCTCAGCGTGGAATTCCACCTCGATGCGCTGCCATCCTCTTCGCGCTCGCTCGGATCGTTCGAAGGTTCATGGATGCCCATCGATCGAATCGGGAGGTGGCAGGGACCGACCCAACCTCATTTTTGGGCTTCTACCTGCGCGCTCGAGGAGGCGATGATCATCTTGTTGGATGGGAAGGGCAAATTGGAGGAAGGGCACCGTTTCGTCTCTCTCCAAGCGCCAGCTTAAGGCACGGCGGTTTTTCGCGGCCTCGACGGCCAAGATCTCGACGGCCTAGATCTCGACGGGATGACGGTACAAAAAAAAAGATTTTCTCCCAGCACGCCCTCAATTATGGATGGCTTCATTTCACTTACTCGTGCTGACGGTGCCGAATGAAGGACTTAATCCAGGATTTAATTGTACTTTCCTTGTGCTCTTCCCTCGAGAGATCCGGAGCGGTGCCTCGCCTGTGTCTTGGGACTTCAAGACCGGAAAACAGAGGAACTTCATCGTGGTAGCTCACCTAAGGGTCATTCCACGCCGATTAGGAATTCTTTATATTTTAAAATTTCATTATTTTTAGAGTTTTTCAAGATTTTCAAAAATATTAATTTTTAATTATTTTAATTTCTGACGCGCATCCCTGCTGAAATTTCCACGTTTTTGTCGACGAGCAACGAAGCTCAAGGAAAACGACGATGAAATGGATCGCACGTCTGAGTTGGAAGTAAGTAGGAGCGGGTAATTAGGCGAAGGTCGAATTAATCGAGATGATTATGGTGAAGAAAATTTTCATCCCCACGTCTGGACGACGCGGAACGCAACGAATCCTCTAATCTCCCAAAAGAAATATAGGAATGCACAAAAAAAAAAATTAATCCGTACTGACGGAAGTTCGCCGCTGAACTGCTAGCTATACAGGATTTCGTCCCACTCGAAAGTAAGTCGTTCCATCGCGTTTGTCGTTGTCGTCGTTTCGCAATAGTTGCGAGAGTTCGTCGTGGCACCGCAGGGAATGCTTCGAGACTCATGCGGGACGAGGGAACTTCGACCGTGATTCCGTCGTTCGCAAGTCTTTTAAAACTCCCCTCGGCATACAGTCCTTGAAATCCCAGACTGTCGAGGCAATCCACGTTTCGATCGACTATGGGGCTAGCCACGTCCCTCGATTCTCGTTCGCACGTCATGAGCAGTTAGTTTCCCCTCCTCCGGCACGGTTCTAGCGCGAGTCGGCGTTTCTTCCCGCACGGAACCCGTTTCCCCCGCCTGCTTTCCCCGCCACTAACTTCCGTATGGCAGGTTTTTTGCTGGCACTTTCCCGTCGGGATGATTCTCCACGAGATGTTCGCAACAATTCTGGTGAGATTCGCTTTCGACGGAACCATCAACGATGAAAATCCGCTGCAGCAATTAAAAACGCACGCGCGTCCCGTCCCGGAAACTTGCAGCTGGACCATCAACCCCCCATCACCCGATCGCCCAACCTGCTGACACGTAAGTCGTGTTGGCACGAGACGATCAGCATTTCCTGCGGCACCTCGACAAACTATCGCAATTATGGTGGAAGACGGCCCCCGACAGGAAGCAAGACGAAAGGACTCGTTTCGTCATTTCGGGACACCCCATACGCTAGAGCACCTTCTAAATCTTCGGAGTCATTCAGCACCATAACGCCTAAATTTTTTCCGATCTTGCGACCGTCGGAGAGGAAGACCGTGTCCCGAACGGCGATGCCCACAGGTTCCCGGTCCGTCACTCGGTACGCAACCAACCAGTCTGCCGACCCAAGGAGTCGTAAGTGGCCGTCAGGAAACCCTGAACCGTGCAGCATCGATTCCGTCTCGAACTCAGGTCTTCGACTTCTTCGAAAAATGCTTCAGACTGGGCGCAACTTGGCACGTCGTTCGTCGTGTGGATCATCCACATCACTTTGAGGTGGATGTCGCCTGAGCGCGTCTTAAAGTATCAATACTACAAATTACATTTTCCAGACGCTGCCTCTGAGATACCTTCGGTGGCATCGCGAAAACTACGGCATGGATTATAAATATCTTGACACCAGTGTAAAGCTGAATAATTTTTCCAAAGGAAGATGCTATTACAATTTCAGCTCATTCGAGGAACTGCGCTATAAAGTGTCAGATCTTCCGAGTTTTTTTTTTCTTTCTATCCCGTAAACGGACAACGACTCGACACCGACATGGCGCTTGAAGCAGCTGCAACGAAGAAGCTTCGAAGCCGAAAGGAAAACGGCTTGCAGGTCGCACATGATGTACGGGTACATCGCTAGACGAAAGGTCCGTCAGTGCAGGACTACCAGTACCTGAAACATGTAATGTAGGTCTGCAAAAAACTCAGTCAAGACACAACAAGACACAAAAACAAGCCTCGTAATAAAAAAAATACTTATATTGAAATAACTTCGATATAAAAATGTGCATAGCTGCGAAGGAAAGTAGGCCTTCGTACGCCATCGAGGTCATGATTGAGCTCGATAAAGCCAATATCGCAACGGTCATCATGAGGCTCGCGTATTCTATTGAGGAAAAAGAATCTGAAACTTCGGGAATTTGCAAGCTATGAGGATGGCTTGGAAATTTCGTAAATGTAATGTAGGCGATTAAAGAGCCAATCAAGGATCTGAATTCCTCGTTATGTTATCCTCATCAATAAATACTGAACTATGGTACGCTACGTGACATCGGAAAATAAAAGGAGGACCTCTAACCACTCAGTAGAAAATTTCATCTCCCACATCTGACTTGCTGACACAGACATAAACATGGAAACGATTCCGACACAAGATATTTTAAAATTTTCTCAGCGATGCAAATTTCACGGCCATGCAAGAAACACGGTATGCACGATGATGGTGACTTATTAAATATGCATGACAATTTTATTTTCATGCAAATTTAATTGTCATGCATTTTCCGGTATGGTGAGAAGTGGGAAACCTCCAAAGGAATGACATTCATCGGGATTTCCCTATGAGTTCCCCAAATAGCCACCGAAGGGGGTCACACTTCAGAAGGATGACCATGGATGATGAGATTCGACGGCTTTAGATAGGGTCAGTCCTGCAAGACCACGAGAGGAAGCTGGTGCTTGGCCGACAGGTACTTCCTCAAGCCGAGGATGTACTGCCGGCATCCCTCCGCGTGGAACTTGAGCAGGATCGTGGCTGGAATGATCGGAACCTTGTAGTCCAGCGAGAACACCCAGCGCAGCAGGGTCCTCGTCGTGTTGCGCTCCGGATCGGGAGAGAATGACATCCCGCTGCCTTCTTTCATCTCCGCCCTGATATCCCCAAAAGTCGCAGGTGAAAAAAACCACTCAGTTTTGATTAATCAGGAAATGCTCAATTACATTTTTTGCTTATGAGGTTTATAAATGTGTCGATAGTTTTATGCATGCCAAAATGTATTAGCTAGTTGACGGGCAAGAATGGATTTCTGTTTCCGCCAATATCAAAATCAAGGAGAAGAATCAGTTAATGAGTTCTGACTTATTTCACCGCGTGTGAGATGAGTTTCAAAGCTGAATATGACTAATATCTTTCATTTCGATTTTTATCTTCGTTTTCACGGAAACCTAAGCATTCTAGAGGGAAAAATTTAAGGAAATATATAAGATTAGCATTTACCCTTCAGGTATTCTCATCGTGTCAGCAGTTTCTCTCTCACGTTTTAATCGTGCAAGTTTATGGTCAGCGTGCCCTTTATAAAGCTTCTGTTCTCCTGCAATAATTTTTTTTCGGAATTTAAGTTGTTTTAATTTTTTCCCCCGTATTTTCGGAATCCCTCCCTCTTAATTTCAACCTCCCAGCAGCTTGCCGCAAGCAGTGGTTTTGCTTACAGCAAAGGAACAAATGCAAACATATTCCATTTTAAGCGCTTCTGAAGTGTGCCAGTTTCCTACGAAGAAATTAGGATTTGAGAGATTGCTTATACGGCTTCAAGGAGGGTCTCAAAAATTCTCTTAATATAAGGGAAGAAAATTATACCTTATCGTGGGAATATTAATTAAGCAACTAATATGTTCCTCACCTGACCATCTCCTCCCTCGGCTCCACCCCCGACCACAAAATGCTGTTCATGGTTACGAAGTGAGTGTCTCCGATCTTGCGACTGTAGGAGAGGATGACCACGTCTCTACTGGCGATGACGCCCACGGGACTCGGGTCCATCACTTGGTACACGACCCAGCACGCGTCCGTCAGTCGCTGTTGGGCGGGGAGGCGAAAGGGATCGTTAACGGAACTGCGAACTATCGTCTCGGTCTTCGAATTCTCGAGACGCGAACGAATCGTTCCACACGTTTAGCACTTTTCATGTCAGCTATTTATGATATCGTGGAGCTGAAAAATCCCGACTGTGCGCGGACCAAATACAGGGGGCCACATAAAAGAAGCCCGGTTGACGAGCGTTTTGTTACGATGGCAAAGGAGGTTCCTGAGGTGATTGTAATTTGTAATCTCATAAGTACTGGAAATGTTCTCCTGCAACATCCTCCTGATACCCGAAAACGCTCGCGTATTTGTTTGTAAGACTTATTCCGTGAAATACACTTCCACTATCGCCATACGCTGCCTCACAAAATACGGCATGTTGCTATTTATTTCCAATAGGCTACTGGGAGTTGAGACTGAAGCTACAGTGGCAGGCGGCCCTCCCCGCTCTCTGACAGAAACTAGCCTAACTAGTTTTCGAGGTTGTAGGGACAAGCGATGGGCAAGAAAAGAACTTGATTGTTCCCATACAGACAACAAACCAATGACCGGGCTACTTTTCTGTGGCCCACCCTGTAGAAGAGATAGCCAAAGTGTATCCATTATTTGAGGTTACCCCAAGTTCATAACCATAAATTCAAAAGCAGCTAAGCGAAGGAATTAACAGGAAAGTACCGAAGACTTTAAGTTTTGCCCTGAAAAAATTCTTCCAAGTACGCATAGAGAGAGTGTATTGCCCCGCAAGGAGAGAAATTGCGTAACAGCAATTATCTGCGACTTTCCAATGGCAGCTGGAAAGAAGGGACCAATGCAAATTAAACTTCTTTGAAGTGCCTTAGGGCTCTATTCAAACCGTCGATGGCTTTGCCTCCAAGGAATGCGTGTAATGAAATGGGGGATGATGCGCAACTCGTCCGTGTAATCGGATCGAATGGTGACGTAAACATATGGGAACGGGGAAAGAGTAATGAGGAGTCCCTCAAGTTATGAGGGACTCCTCATGGAGTTTTTCTCCTATGGTTTTCCTCACACAAGAACCATGAAGAAACTGAGATGATATTGATCCAATTAACATTGTGCCCAGCAAACAACTCACTGCCTGACCACACCACCATATCCATGTTGGGTCAAGTTGGTGAAACCGCCGAAAAAATGAACGTGTCCCGTACTCAAAGCGGTTGTTCGGACCCTATACTCCTAATACCATGAAGTATGCTCCAGAGTCGTCTCCCTCGCTATTGACCAAGTGGACTAGCTCTATTCCTCATCTCTCCCCAAAAGAAGGTGGACGAAAGATAGTCTATTTCATTACATTTTTTTTGTTTTTCTTGTCATCTTTCCAATCTTTAATGCACGGACGGTGAAGGGTCCTTGATTTACGTGGATATTTAATCTACTTTTTCCCTATCGCCATTTCTGAGCACTCTGATTCCGCTTGATATCAGTGTTGTTACTCCACTGTAGGGTGAACATCTTGATAAGCATAAAAATAGGAAATGGGAAATGAGAAATGAGAAATGGAGAAATTATATTGCTTGATTCAAAGTCTTTCTGCGCAATCCTTAAGGTTTGACGCAGGTCGGGCGGAAGGACTTATGTTCAGTCAGTTCTGGGACATCCTATATAATATATCAGGTCCTGCCATTATCCTTCCGAACTAAAATAGGCATTCATTTTCCCAATATTTCGCACGAATTGGTACGACAATTTTGATGCCGAGATTAGAGTTAACTCTAACGAGGTACTTTTAAGAGCTTAAGCTGCTTGGTAACCGCTGATCCAATACGCGACTATGTTGCATTTACACACGGAGAAAGCAATTTCGCATGTAACAACTTGAAACCCGTAACGGACGAGGTCCCACCCTCACACTTCGGAAACGACCTTTGGAATGTCCCCAAGGACCCCACGAAGACGAACCTGAAGGACCTTGTACTCCTTGACGTCGGAGTGCCAGTCGGCTGTGGCCTCCAGGGTGTTGTCTCGCATGTCTCGGGCCACTCGGTTGCACTCGAGGTCCAGCGCGGCCTGCAAAAAGGGAAGTAAATAAGTTAAATTCTGGGTGTGATTAATGAGAATTCTCGGCCTTGATGACAAAGTCTCTTCTGCACAATTCACCTTCGACATTGTTTACATTCCAAGGGAGAAATTTTAAGCTTCTTCAAGTTTTTTTTTTTACTGTTAACCATGAGTTAACAGTAAAAAAAAAAGAGTTAACAGTTCTTGAGTGCATGGGCCATGCACTCAAGACCATGGAAGATTATCCCTTCCTATTCGATTAACCCTTCCTTGGAATTATTGTAGTTATCGGATCTGAAACCGGAGCAGTAAAACAGTCCGAGATAAACAGTCCCTGGGATTCTGCGTGGGGACAGAAATGTACAGGAATGTTTCTCGTAGATGCATCAGTGTCATCCCGCTTCAATTCCAATAATATGCCCTTACTTTATGTATTTAAATAAATTTATATTTAATAAAAGAAATTTCCGTCTCCAAGGTTCAACTTATATTTTCCAAGAGCCGGTGAGCCAAAAAGGGGAAAAATGTGAGATAACCTGGATGAAGAGGAAGTACGTCTGCGTCTCGAAATCGTATGTAGACTTGATCGTGATTCCTTCCTCGCCGTAATGTTTTTCCAGGGTCCAGTCCTTCCTCTCTAGGTTGAAGCGGAACTTCTCCAGCGCCCTTTCCCCTTCGCTCTCGCATTTCTCCGCTCTAGACTACCAAGAAATGCAGCAAATACTCCATCTTCACTAGCAGTAATGCCTAGATTATCTTTAACTTTCTGAGGGAAACTACGAGAGCCCTTCAGGAAGTACTACACTTTGTTTAATTTTCAATAGCGGTGGAACAGTGACCGATCGACCCATGGGGCAGTACCACGCTTCATCTCAAATGCTCCAACAGCTCAACAAGGAGTGATTCGGCACGATAACGGTCACCCTTGCGCAACAATTACCGCTGCGACCATCACTGAGCTAGGTTGGAATTTAGGGCCACATCCTCCTTACAATCTGGACGTTGCCCGGCGCCTACTTTTCCGTTCCAAAACTCAAGGAACTTCTCCGTGGTTGCAGGTTTCAGCGGGGACGCCATTCCGGGTAGCCGAAGGGAGGAAACCTCCGCCCCACTGACAGCCCTTCGCCTTCCTTCGTCCCGGTTGCCCTCCCTTGCAGAGTAGGAAATTATGTCCCTTGGTATCGGAGTCATGGTGACGTGGGATCCTCCGTTTTCCGGGATTCCAAGCACATGCCCAAAGATGCTCGTGCTGACGCTGTTCGGAACCCAGTCACGGATGAGGCAAGTGGACCACCCATTGGGGTGGTGCAAAAAAGCACTTTTTTCAACTTTGACATTTTTATAGTCTTAACCTCTTATCTTTGTACACTTCAAAATAGAAACTTTTGTGCAAAAAAATCAGCTCAATCGGAGCATATTTAAAGGTCGCTCAAAGGACTTATGAAAATTTCAAAGTTGAAAAAAGTGCTTTTTGGGTGGACCACCCTACTGTTTTGGATCACCCACCTGATTTAAATAAGGTGTTCTTGTCAATGAATAACAAAGGTGAACAACAAAGGCGAATAGAAAAGGCGACGAGGCGGAGATCACGCATCCACAGGAAGGGAAGTAGGTAAAGGTCGAACTGACCTTGAAAATATCACTTTTTCATCGCGACATCGAGATTTTGTCGATTGCACTGAATTCCCATTCCGCTACACTCATCCCGAAGGAAAACAGCAATCCTCCAAGGAGTAAAGTTACATTGACTGATTTCGTTGCAGAACTCCCTCTGATGCGTTTCGGCATCTTTTCGATCAGCGGAGCCGTTGTGCACAAATTCATCGACTTCTTTTGGCGCAGTCGGAGTTTCCATGCCGAATTACATAGCCAAAATGTTTCTGGCGTTCGTTCAAGATCCGTGGCTCGACCGAATCGGGCAAAGGGGGCAAAGGGGGCAAAGGGGGCAAAGGGGGCAAGGGGGCAAGGGGGCAAAGAGTCGCTCACCTGCAAGCCACGGGAGCGGACGATCGGACCGTCCGGGCTGGAAAGGGTCACGTCTTGGAGGAAGTGCATCGTCTTCAGGATGAATTCCACCATGAATATCGTCTTCATCTCTTCGGTTGCCCTTTACCCTTTGGAACAGATTCATGGCGGTTTTCAGACGGTTTTCGAGCCCAAATCCAACATATTTGCACAGGCATGACTCGTGCAAAAATACACGTGGAATCTCATCGAAGATCATCCTGCAAATCGCTTTCCTGCATGTTTTGCCAGCACGATTATCGACTGCTCATTTTAATTTATTTGGGCTGACGATGCTGAATCGAAGCTATTTTTTCAGAACTGGATTGAGGTTAATCCGAAGGCTTTCAGAACGAAAGTCCGACGCATGCAAAAAAAAAAAGTTTTAATTAAAAAAAAAGCCCTTCGTCGAATGTCTATTTTTCAATGTGTCAATTTGCGCTCCAGCACTCAAACCGCTGAATTTAGAGCACTGACAATTTTCACATCGATTCCTTAGCATTCGAAGACTTATCCTTCTCACGGCACTAGATTTTCACTGATGGACCGTTTTCCTCATTTTCACGCAAAACTTAATTTTGCAATGGAAGATGAGAGTTGCGCAACGCGTCTCTTGACGCCACGAGTGCCATTGGAGTCCCAACGACTAGTTAGATTTTAACAGCCCATGGGCTAGATCCAATTGGTGCATGAGATGAAGAGTTATAGGTAATTTAAAAAAAAAAGGGGTCATGCAACAATGCGCTGCAACCCTGCCATCTGACACCCGATCGAGCAAACAAGATCTCCACGAGACAAGAGCGACGGCGAGTCATCCCCAGTAAGGTATTTAAGTATGTTCAGTTTTGTTTGCCTATAGATAGTGCAATTTTTTTTTTACCAATTTCGAAAGTATTTTTAACGCCAATTAGTGCTGATTAGTATTCAAAAGTTTCGGGTTACAGTAAAAATTGAATTTCTTAAAAACCCTTTGGCATTGAATGATTAAGTCTCCAGATCGTGAGGGCTTGACTTCAATAACATCACCGACTGTCCCATGTAACCATTTCCCAATTTTCAGAGGATCAACTCGGGACAAAGGGGAATCTGCAATTCCAGATGACATTTCCAGATGACAACGAAGTGCGGGTAGGCTTGCCTAGACCCGGAGTATTGTCAGCATGAGAGCCGGCAAAGGGGCTTGGGACAGATAGTTCGGGGGAGCTGTGTGGGACTTTCAGCCTGGCTGGTTCGAGAACTTCCTTTTTTTTTTTTTCTTTTAACTCATAGACTGTCTGTCTCGTACTCCACGTTTCATCAGACTGCAGCATGGGTCTGAGACCTCTGCATTAGAGGAAATTTTCTTTTAACTCAGAGACTGTCTGTCTCGTACTCCACGTTTCATCAGACTGCAGCATGGGTCTGAGACCTCTGCATTAGAGGAAGGTTAGGGCGAGTACTAGACTCAACCCTAACGTAGGATATATAATTTACACTAACTTAAAATGAGTTGAAGAAAGGAAAAGAAGGAACTGACTATTAACAGATGAGGTTAGGGGAAAGACCACTCAGATCCACCCAGAAACAAGAGAGAGAGGCAGACAACCGTCCTTCACCGAAGCTACAGGGCGAGGCTCGCGGGGGACTCCTTTTTCACCGAATCTTTACCTGAGGGGTCTTCTGACAGGTTGAAAGAGGGTAAAAAACGGGGGAAAAGAGGGGAATCCCCGAGTTTGATCTGAGGCTCAAGGGAAACGACTCCTCCGCAAGCAGGATCTTGAAAAGGTCAAATCCAACAGGATCTCGAAAAGAGATAAGACAGGAAGGTAAAATCCCGGTTAACCCAGGGGTTCGTTCCCCCTCGCGCTCGTCCTCGTCATCCTTGGGAGAAATTCGCTGGAAATTCGCTGTTCTCCGTGTCGCTCGGTAGCCGTCTCGGTTAGTGTCGGGCCTTTCTCGAAAATGTTCTTTGTGTTGTGATGTGACTTGGTTCGTTTGACGTTGGGCTAAGCTCATCTCAGTGTCTGTGTACTTTCGACTGTTACAACTCGGAATAGTCTAGTGTAAAAGTGCATTCAGAGTTCTGAGACTTCTGGTCAGACCGACAAGTAGTGAGCTTAGAGATCAATGTTGCCGACTATTTCACGACGTGATTCTCTTATGTAAGTCGTGCTTCTATTATTAGATTACAACACCCATATGGGTGTTGTGATTAACATATGTTAATCATAGTCTCAGTGTTTTTAATGTTACAACTATCATATGAAGTGACAAGTACAACAGTGTTCTTGCAATAAAAGGTAAGTCTGGGGTAGGGGATGTTCTGTAGGTATGAAAAGGTAAAAGCGGTAAATGAGAGGGGAATGGAAAAATTTTTTGTAAGGACACTACTAAGGGGAGTGTGCATAATTAAAATTCATATCAACTTTCTTAAGACAGACAAAAGTCTGAAATATACTCGCATAGGGGGTACTGTCTCAAAGAAAAAAATACTCAGGAGCTTAAGGGTTAAATCTAGTCTGAATCTAAAACTAAAAGCCTCGTTCACGCACCTGCACGGATCCCCAGGCCACAAGCGAAATCTCGTCGCATTCGCATCCGCCGCGAGACTGCCATGAAGCCGCCGTGGGTCGAGCCTCGCTTCGTCCCCCGAGGGCGACGGCCGCGCCTCCGATTCGACCCGGGAGCTTCCCTCGGCCGACGAGGAGGGGATCGAGTGATGGGAGGCCGTCGCGATGCCTCCTGTCTGACCTGCTGGGTTTTGCCTGTGGGCAAGCGGCTGTCGAGTTTCTTTTCGCTGGGATCGGCTCGGCAGAGCGAACTCGATTTTCATCTAAAGGCCGTTTCGCACTTAGCGTGTGACGCGTGCGACTTCGACACGAATGCGGCTCGCGTGTCGGCATGCGTCCGAATGCTAGGGAACGCGCGTGTGTTCGTGGCATGCTCTCACGCACTGAGGTAATTCCACAGATTTAGGGACGAAATTGTCAAAAAGAAAAATCCTAAATTTGAGGCCAGTTAAGGAGGGGCTTTCCAATGCATCGCATTAAAATATAGATTCTGATTGATAAAAGAAAACCCCATTCAAAACGTAGTGATTGCGATTCCTTTATACTTGTAAAGGCCTGTGGGCATAAATGTACACCCGTTTTCCCCTGCATCCGAACGCACGTGGACGCATGCTGCATGCGTGTCGAAATCGCACGCGTTACACGCCAAGTGTGCAATGGCCTTATGTCTAAAACTAAAATTAAATCTAACGTACACAACGGTTATATAAGCCACCCGCTGACGAGCGTTTCTGCATTTTCCTTCAACCCTGCAAGTCGTACTGCTGACGCATCAGTAAGAGAAAACAGATCATGACTCAATGGAAAGCTTACGTATCCATAGCCGAGATTGTTCTCTATGCCCACCGTGTGGACAGCGTTACCTCGTGTCACCCGATTGCTGATGAAAATTCGGGACGGATTTTTCCAGTGAAACCGGTTTTTTTTTCTTAGTAAGAAGGGGAAAATGTCTGGAATGGACGATTAGTGGGACTGGAATTCTCCGAGGGGGAATCCTCTTCGACCTTCGGCAACTCTTATATAAGTTTTTTTTATTTATTTAAATTGAAATATACCCTTATTTAGGGCGAACTTCTCGGAGGACCGTGCGGAGGGAACTCGTCCGTTGCTTTTGGTCTGTGAGGTTTAAAAATAAAAAGATTAAAGGAATTGAAAAGTTCGCATGAAGACGAAGAAATTAAAGCACAGAAGTAGACCCAAAGGGATATGAAGCTGAAAAGTAAGATCGAGAGAAGGCGCGGAAGCACCCATCGATCCACGGCAATGGGCTACGGACACTAATGCGCATTGCAGCACCGATGCACGAAACCAGATACGAACACTGTACGAAGCTGGACTCGAAAAATGCCGCAAGCGATCGCATGGGAATCCCTTCGAGACAGCACGAGCCGCGAACGCGGACCGGAGGGAAGGTGATGGTGCAGAGAGGCCATGCACGGCCACGCGCTCAACTGTGAGTGAATGCTTTGCCCCGAGGGTTTATGAAGGGGGCCTTCTTCCACACGATCGAGTGGAAGACGGAGGTTGACATTCGCCGAGACGATGCGAGCGAGCTTCCCCACCCCCCACCCCCGTCCGCACCTTTCAGGTCAGGAAGAGACTGATACGGGTCGGAATTCCTTGTTGATGCCTTTTCCTTTTGAAAAAAAAAATCGAAATGCGAAGATCGACTGAAGGGTATCATTTAGATTCACCGGTTTCTCTGTGCGCATCAGCCAGCAAATGCCGACTGGTTCTCGTCCTAAACTCTTCTCTGCCTCGAGATGAGAGGTCAAGTTGCTTAAGACACTCGTCTTAAGCAAGCTTACCAGGATGTGAAAGCAAGTGGAACGAACCATCGTGGAACTCTATGGCACCTGTGACGTCTTAGGTCGCGCTTCATTCGGTCTCTCACTGCTGCGTGAAGCAGGCTTACGAGTACATCTACATATGAATATAAATATAAATTATTTCTAAATTTTTAGGCGAAACCCTCTTCACCTATCCTCTTCGATAAGTCATACCATGGTTACATAATACTGTTTCCACTATATTATTCGAAAATGGTTGCCTCCAAGGGAAGCTCACTTACAGATAAACGAGAGAATGTCCTCCGTGCGCATCGCACCAATCACCGACGAATGCCCTCAAGGATTTTCCCGGACCAAAAAACGTCGTTTCTCACAGAGAGCGTCCGGGCTTGGGAAGAGACAGACTGAAACTCTTTTAATCCTGCACGAGCCCCCCCCCCCCCGTCATGTCAGCAACTTTTTGCCCGGTTTGCCTGTCTTATATAACGTGTCCCCTTCGTTCTCGCTTCCGTTCTGCCCCCGCTGCAATTCACGATCGTCTCGTGAGACTGCGAATATCGCAGGCTCGATCCAGCCACTTTCACCGTTCCGTGTTTCCCCGTGGTAAGTTACGTCTTTACTCTTTTGACCGACCGACAGGGGAACTCACTTGGTCTATGAAGTTAAAATACGAGGTGCGATCCAAAAGTTTCGGGAATCGACCGCTAGAGCGCCACCTGTTGAAGCTAACATTAAAACGTCGTGTTTCAAATGATATGACCTTGACCAATGTGGGGGGACCCTTCAGTTGGTTCCCAGAGCAATTTAAGTGAGGTCGTGTCGAAGTGCATCTGCGATGAGCCTTCACGAGCAAAGAATTTGGGTGAAATTTTGCGTTAAATTGGGCAAAAAACGGTGAGAAACTTGTCAAATGCCGAAGCAAGCTCTTTGGCGCGGACGCAATGAGCAAAACAAGAGTTTACGAGGGGCATAACAAATTTAAGGAGCACTCGGTCGGACAGGCGAATGACCATCCAAACCGTGAATCTTTCCATCGAGACGTTTTAAGACGGTCACGAGAGGCCGTCCGAAGAAAGCGACGGCAGAAACGGAGCAGCGGGGGGAACGGCTCTCTCGTCGCGACAGCGGCACCCTCTCGCTCCGCCTCGTCAGGGCGCACGTTTCTCGCAAAAAAAAAATCAGATGGGGATGCTCGGGCATCCTCCCTACTCGCCCGATTTAGCACCGTTAGACTTTTTTGTGCTTCCAAAGATAAAAACCGAGTTGAAAGGGCGACGTTTTAACAGCATAGACGAGATTCAACAGGAAACGCTGGCGGTACCGAGCAATATCCCTCGGTTGGAGTTACGGCGCTGTTTTGAAACATGAAAGGACCGGTGGACTCGCTGTATCAACCGCAGAGAGGATTATTTTGAAAGAGGTCTTTTGTATTGTTTATCAATAAATTCCCGAAACTTTTGGATTGCACCTCGTATATTAATTTGTATTGAAAAAAAAAACCCGCATTAAGGCGGCAGTCAAAGGTCGCAAAGGAATTTGAAGGATCTTCATTCTCTCGGCTTCAAATCGAAGTTACCAAACCTTTATGGTTCAACCCAATGACACTTTTCCTCTAAATGATGAGAATCAAAACGAAAAAAAAAAACTACATGCAGTAGTTTTATGTAAGCGCGAATTATTTCAATTTCAAACCATGAAGCAACCCAAGAAACAACCAAAACCAAGGCAGAGATGGAAACGGAACCGTTGGGGGAATCCCAGGGACTGGACCGAGGACACACCGCCGTCTGACGGCAAGCACTCTCGTCGACTGCGAAGCCGCGCTAGCGGCCGTTCCCATGGATGCCGCTTACATTAGCATCTTAATAATCGTATTAGGATTCACATAGGAACCATCCGCAAAGACAGGAAATTGCAGTTCCCTTCACGCCCAGCCACAGTTCTCCTAAGCGTTAGGGGAAACCAACTCGACTCGAACGCTTATCGGCTATCGGCTACTCGTTGGACTTGCTCTCTGGTGATTCTCTCCCAGTATTTGCCCTGTAGTACAAAACATTCCGTAGTGCTAATTTCCTGTGGCATTTATATCATGAGATTAAGTACGAGCATGAAATCTGAGCGCTCTTGATAGTTTCGAAAAATTGAGTTTCGTTGGTTTCCCCTACCTCGGCTCAATGCTGTGGCGAACACAATACGGGTGGGTGGGGTCGGAGGGGGGGTGGTGGGGGGGTGGGGGGGGGGGGGGCTGATGGAAACCAACCCCCATATTTTCCTTGCCCTTAGATTGCAATTCCAGGTCTTCTCTTTCAACAAAGTAAAATACTTATAATGGTCTGATCTCGGGATTTCACCCACCTTTACGCACGCACCTTCTCGTATCATAACATTAGAAACGACGTTAGAAACATTCTCTATCAAGATTTCCCAGAGAAAGAAATCACATGACGTCAGGTTAGGACTCCTTGCTTTCCGGAAAAGCAAGAAGTCCTGACCTGACGTCACTGAAACGCATGAAGTTCATTCATCTGAATCTCTGACGAGTTCGGAATTTTCCATAACCCATAACCATAATCCATAACCCTGGGCCCATAACCCAGAGGTCCGTGGATCGAAACCACGCTCTGCTACTCTAACTTTTGTCCTTTTTCCTTACTTTTCTTGAGTTCCCAGACGCGTGGGAGACGATACGAAGATCCGCTCCTTCCGAATCTGATGGGAACCAGTCACTCTTCCATGCATGAATGCGAGCATGAAATTCGGAACGAAAACGAGACGAGAATGCTGGCAGATGCAAACATGGAACAGCCCGCCCTCAAGTCCCTCAAGGTCGATGCACGCCGACTGCGAAGAGGCAAAACGCAACACCGCCTGCGAAGTTCGCAGTCGTTTCTCGACTGCAGCCGTCCGCGGAGCTCCCAAGCGAAGTCGAATTTGGTCGTGTACAATTTGCCTGCGACACTCTTGCTTTTTTGTAAGTACGGTCGGTAGGTACGTCCAGTACTCAGATCCCGTCATCAGATGGGAGAATTCGAGACCCTACACTCTTAGAAAAGAGAGCGATTTCCTCCAAAGGGAGCGAAACTGGAGTTAGCAGTTTCACTCCCTAAAAGCAAGGAAGTAATGTCGCTCACCACTCTCTTTCCTGAGAACAGCCACAAACTTTTTCTACTAGTTTAAAATTAGTTTAAAAAATACTGCATATGGATTTTGCTCTTATAAAGGAGTAGTTATCGATTGCACTTCCTCGTTCTTTGGGAGTAAAACCGCCTACTCCAGTTTCGCCCTCTTTCTCGGATATCGCTCACTTTTTTTCTGTGAGTGCAGTAGAAAATATTACCATCGAAGGCAAAAGGCATTTTTCTCCTATGTCCGTGAGAATGAGCTGTTGAAGACCCTTACTTGATCTGCCGGAAGAGAGGGCAAACTGCGACGGATTGTAACGAACTGCGACGGTCGCGGCGAAGCTCTTCGCAGTCGGTGTGCATGGGCCTTTACCGATTCTCGTCGTCGACGAAGATGGCAACTAAAGCGATGGGATGGAAGAAGGAAGGGAAAGAAAGGGATGCGGAAATCTGTTTCGATCCTTCGCAGGTGAACAGGAGCAAGAAAACACGGCGACTTCTGAAAACGATGGTCGAGCGAGGAAGGAAAAAAGACTAAAGTTACCGTAGCAGAGCGTGGTTTCGATCCACGGACCTCTGGGTTATGGGCCCAGCAC